TGCCCTAGCTGGTTTGGCTCAGTGGGTAGAGCGTCAGCCTGTGGACTGAAGGGTCCCGGGTTCGATTCCGGTCAGGGGCACATGCCCAGGTTGCGGGCTCGATCCCCGGTGTGGGGTGTGCAGGAGGCAGCCGATTGATGATACTCTCTCATCATTGATGTTTCTGTCTCTCTCTCCCTCTCCCTTCCTCTCTGAAATCAATAAAAATATATATTTTTTAAAAAGACCTGTAATTGTAAAATGTTCACCAGTACAATCCAAAAATTGTGTTGGAGTACTGCTTAAATCACTTCTCTTCATCTCTTAAAAAAGCACACAAGTTAAAAGGCAGGTGAAAAAGTGGAGAAGTAAGTGGGTATTGTCTTAGGACTGGGGCCAAGGTGAGAGATGAGGAAAGGATAGTGTTGGTGAGAATACCGTGGTATAAGGAAGTCTTCCCACTGAAGAACAAAAAAGTAGTGTTTAGATATTTTTCAACCAATCTGCCTACCAACTCTTACTTTTTACAAAATTATATAAAGACACGCTTCCTTCTTAGTTGTGAAAGGAACTATTATGAGATAGTTAGTCTTTAATATCTAATTTTCCTTGAACTGTTAAAACTATTTTTTTATATATATGTTTATTGCAGTGGTTCTCAACCTGTGGGTCGCGACCCCTTTGGCGGTCGAACGACCCTTTCACAGGGGTCACCTAAGACCATCCTGCATATCAGATATTTACATTACAATTTGTAACAGTAGCAACATTAGTTATGAAGTAGCAACGAAAATAATTTTATGGTTGGGTCACAACATGAGGAACTGTATTTAAAGGGCCAGAAGGTTGAAAACCACTGTTTTATTGATTTTAGAGAAGAGGTGAGAGGGAGAGAGTGATAGAAACATCAATGATGAGAGAGTCATTGATTGGCTGCCTCCTGCACACTGCCTACTGGGGACCAAGCCTGCAACCTGGGCATGTGCCCTGACTGGGAATCGAACCCATGACCTCTTAGTTCATAGACTGATGCTCAACCACTGAGCCACGCTGGGCCAGTGAAACTATTAAAACCTGTATATTCAGATAGCCCATTAATGAAACTAAAAAAAACACACAAAACATTTACAAGAACTTTAATATGCATGATCACATTCAAGATCCATGTAAGCACAGATAATTAGGCTAATTTACTGAAAAGAATCAGAGGTTAAACAAGGGTTTTTAAACTGTGCTGTAAATCTCCATATTTTATTCCCAAGTGATTTCCCACAGTTAGCGAGGAGTTTTTCATAAAGAGTCTGAAAGCAAAACACAGAGTACAAAACTTTCATAAACACTAAAAATACCTCACAATCAACCTCTGACCCCTGAAATTGGAGGCTTATTAGTAGTCAGTGTAAATCCTTGAGAGCAGAGACCTGCCTTTCTCTTCTGTAACTTGCAAGAATGTTTTGTGTAGATAACTGCATCCAGTGAGAGCTCATAAAAAATGATTTGGCTTTTAGCACAATCGTTCTGGGTCTCAAGAGATTCTTTCATCCTAGCAGATATTTGGCATTGTTCTGGGAATGATGAAAACAAACTCCTCTTCTTAAGGAATACACAGTTCAGAAATGGGAACAAGGAAAAGCGACATGAAGCTGGCTTAGCAGACCACTTTATTAGCAGTCTTCTTGTCCCTGAACCCTAAATTTTCTTTTTTATCTCTCAATTTTGAATGGTTCTGGTATTTGCTCTTTTTCTTGGTCAGAAAAAGAAAACCACTAGAACACACCTCTCTCCTGAAAATTCACTTTAAGGCTCAGATTTAGAAAAAAAAATTATTTTTTAAAGGTTTATTGCCTTTTATCATTCCTTCAACAATATGCCTACTGTGTGCTCCACTGCTGCTGTGCAAAATACTGGTGATGATTGAACAAAACCAGAATTCATGTCCTCATGAAACTACATTGTGGATGCAGAGCTCCTCCTCAAATAAATAACATTACACATCATGCGCAGTACCAGACGGGATTGGGTACTGTGACAGGGAATAACGGGGGGAGAGATGGAAGTGTGAATCTACCTTAGTGAAGGTCAGGGAAGCCTCACTAAGAAAGGAACATTAAAGTTAACACAGAAAGACAAGATGCCAATCAGGAGGTAAAGTGTTCCAGGCAGAGGGAACAGCAAGGGGAAGAGCCCAGTGGTGAAAAAGTTTAATGTGTTTGACGATTTGAGCATGAATAGCATGAGTTTATATTTGAATGCTTAATATATGCTAGACTTCATGCTAAGTAGTTTAATGCATCCTCTTATGTAATCACTACCAGAAACCCCACCATTTTCAAAATGAAATAAACAAGCATAGGCAAGGTTAACTTGTTCAAAATCACATAGCAAGTGGGGGAGCTTGGATTCAATTCAATGCAGTATCAATCCAAAGCCTACATTTTTAACTCAACCTTATAGCCAAAGTTAAAGATAAGCAATAGCCAAATCACGTGGGACTTTATATGCCATGGTAAGGAGGTTGGCTTTACTTTTTAATTAATTAACTTTTTTGAATTTTAAACTCAGTGGAAAGTCATTGAAAGGTTTAAGCAAAACAATAATGTTATCTGATTTACTTTTCTACAGGGGCTGTTGTGTGCTGGCCAGAGAGGCTGGGGAGGAGTTGTAGAGTTAAAAAAAAAAAAAAAGGAAATGATTCAGGATTTAAAAAAAAAAAAAAAAAGGAAACCAATAAGTAGCAAAGAGAGAAGTGAAGGCAGTCTGGACTAGAAGTAGACAAATTCAAGATCTATTTTAGAGCAAATCAAATTAGACTTGCCAATTATTTGGATACATGAAAGATTTCCCAGGCTTCTGGCTTACTAACAAAGGGATTACCACGAAGGATAAAAAGGAAATGATTCAGGATCAGACAGTTTGGGAAAGAGAGGTAGATCCATTCAGTCATTCAACAAATCTTGTAATCTTATCCTCTACTATGTGAGGACATGGGAGAGTACAAAACTGGTCAAGTCTTGCCCTCATAGAGCTTACATCTTTGGAGTGGAGGGCAGTTAGACACATTAACATGTAAGCCATAGATGGAGATAATTGCTATGTAAGCCAATAAAGCAGGTAACCTGGGAAAGGAGGGGACCATTTTAATTGAGTGGTCAAAAAGAGTTTCTCTAATGAGCAGAGGCCTAAAGGAAACAAAGGCAGCCCTGACTATTTTGGGGAGAAGAGCTCCCAGCAGTGTGAATAAGCCTGCAATGCCATGAGGCAGAAGTGTTTTCTGTGAGTCTGGGGACTGGCAAGGAAGCCAGGTGGTATAGCAGAGTAGGTAAGGGGAAAATAATAGAACAGAGGAGAACAGGCAATGCAGAACTCTGATTAAGGATGTCAGCTTTTTTACTCTGAAATCCTGAAAGCTTTCAGAGAGGAATGGAGGAGTGGTGTTACTCTGGTTGCAATATGGAAATAACACTATAAGGAAGCAAAGGCGGAAGCAGAGGCTCATGAGGCATTATTCTTTTGGTGCATCAGCGTAGTGATGAAAGGGTCAAGCTTAGGATAGCTTTTGAAGAGTGGATAGAATCTGTTGATGGGATTAGATGGGGTAGCATTAAGAGAGGAGTCAAGGAAGACTGTTTTTTGTCCTGTACCAAAGAAGAATGAGGTTACCATTTACTGAGTTTGGCATGAGCATGGAAGGAACAGATTTATATTGGAAAATAACTTCACTTTGCCAAGATAGAGATACTTATTACAAATTTAAATATAGATGTTGGGCAGGCAGCTGTTTTCTAGATTCCAGAGAGGTCTGGTTTGGATCTAGTCTGGCAGTCTTCAGCATATAGGTGGTATTTAAGTCATGAGAATGGATGTAGGAAAACATACAGATAGAAGATCCAGAACTGAACCCTTGAAAAACTCCATCAGTTAGACATTTCCATCTCATACCTAATATTCTTAAAATTAAAAAACTGCTTTAATTTTTAAAGCTATCACTTATTAGTTCAGTTTCTAAAGTCATCAAATGCATCAATGAAACACGGCAATGAACCAAAAAGATTATATTCTACAAATCTCAAAGCAAGAAAAAAAAGAACCAAACTCCATTCATAATCAGAGGAAAACTAGGAACTCAAGACATTTCCAAATATAAAGGCTGTACAAACTAGTGGTTAAATGCATGGTATAAGAGTTCAGGATGTCTGGATCTTCATTCTGGTCCCTACACTCAACTATGTGCCCTAGGAGAGGGCACTTACTATGCAGTTTACTCAGCAATAAGTTGGGGATAATAACTTCTTGGATTAAGTGAATTACTGCCTGAACTTTTGCAATAGAAAAGTTAGCTTATCTTAGTGAAATAAAAGTTGGGAGAGAGACCCTTCAACTAAACACAGGAATTCTTCAATTACTTTAACCAAGGACTTGTAGCTCTGTTTTGATTTCAAAACTTGTTCCTAAATTTAATACTCTGAACTCACGGCTGAAAACAAGGCCAAAACACATGCCCAAACTCCTTAGTCTCCAAAACAACCAGGGAGCAACTAGCTAGTCCCAGTCCACAGAGAGCAAGCATGTCTGATAACAAGGTCCAGCTGCGACACAGGCTTCCCGGGCTCGAATCCCTCCTTAACCACTTACTTGATTGATTCTCTTCTGATCTCTCCTAGAGGATGAGTGTATTTTCAGACAGAGAAAGGTTAAACCAAGCTTTGAATGGGAGTGCAGCAAAGAGCTCAGACTACAACTCTCAGGCAGCAACAGGGGGAGACCTCTCCAGTCACCGTCCATCCCTTTCCCAGAGCACAGTGGGGCCAGGCTCTAGGGTGGCTTATGAGGAAACGGCGACCTTCCCCCATCTAGCCCCGACCCCGTTCCCTGGGAGCAAAGCAGCTCCCCTCCCCAGCTCCCCTTCCTCTCGCGGGAGTCCGGGCTCCAGACCTGGGCCTCGGGCTCCAGCCTCCAGCCTCCAGCGCGGAGCCGAGGAGCCGCCCGGGGAAGAGACAATAGGGCCGTGGCGGCCGCCGTACCTCTCACGGTCGCGGCCGTCGAAGTAGACGAAGTCGCCGTTCTGGACGCACTTGGCGCAGGTCAGCCGCCGGCGGGTGGTGTTGCACAGCGGGCACCGCTCCACCGCCACGTACAGCCCCTCCACGAAGT